AACAAGCAGTGGCCAGTTGGGAAAAAGTGAAGTGCCAAGGAGCCAGTCAGGAATCTAGTTCCGCGCAGAGGCCAAGCGATGTCCGGCAGGCGCGGTTCAGAACCGAGTGAGCAGTTTGTCAGGGCGAGGAAGACTGCTGCTGCTTTTGGCGCTTCGCCTCGCTCTTCTTTTGCCGGTATTCGTCGTCCAATCTATATACGTAGTCCTTGTAGGGGTATTCGGATTCGACGCCAGCAACATTCGACTCAAGTATCTGAAGTAACAATTGTGACTGCTTAGTGGGTGCAAGGTTCATTGGTTGGTTCGCATGTGTGGTAGTGCACATTCCGTGGGTGGTAGTGCGCATTCCGTGGGTCATGGCAATGGGTAGGTAGGGTGTGGTTTACGTGAGACTCGACGTCATTGAGCGTGGTGGCTTTGGTCTTGAAAACATTTCGTTGTCGCCATCCATTGTCTGCGAGATCGATGAGGTCCTGGATTTTGCAGTCGATGCGTGTGTCGAAAGATTCGCGTAGATCGCTCAGAGTAGTGAGGATTATTTTGGAGGTCTCTTTACACTGTGTCTCGAGGGCGTAGCCAATGGTTGTTAGGAGCTCACACATGCATTCGATGATATGCGGTTCGGGTCTCGCTCTGTCTGCAAGAGAGAAGAGGGTTGTCTGTCGAGCAGACCTTGTCCGAAACAAAGGTTGTCCGAAACAAAGGTTGTCCGGAGTGTCTGGGGCGCGAGAAAGCTTACTGCTGACGATGAGAGTACAAACAACTGATTTCAAGGCGGGGCTCAAGATCACTTTTCTCATGAATAGTTCGCCAATAAATCGCATATCTACAGAAGTTGTCGTTGGCGATTGGTACCATGTAGGTAGTTGGTGTGCGGAGGGATGGGGGTGTGGCTGACTGCCGAGGATGAGTCGCTTCCTCTTCATGCGTGCTGCTTCTGCGTCTTCTTCGGAGAGTTGCGCCAGCGCGGCTTCCTCGGCGGCGGGGTCGTATTGGGTGATGGCGTCGAACTCGTCTTGGCAGCGGAAGACGATGCAACGCTGGAAGTCGACCGGCTTCTTTCTGGGTTCATCCTGGTCGTCCTTTTGGAACTGGGGTGAGCGTGCGCGTAGAACTAGGACCAGGTCGGCGTACATTTCCGAGAAGTCGGGTTCGGAGACGGCCTTTTTGTAGACCTCATCAACGACAACCGAAAGCTCCTCCTCATCCGCACAGGACTCAAGGATGTCCCGCACCAACCGGTCTGCGATCGCCTCAAACTTCTCCACCGTCAACTTATTCAACAAACTCTTCGTATGCCGCCGCAGTGCAACCGGCCGCGACAATTCCGGACGTTTCTGCGGCGCCACCACTGGCGGCGGCGGCACCGGTGCACGTACCCACTCTTTATTCGCCAGCGCTTCGCGCTGTCGCGTACCCGATGGCGAAATCCCCGGCTGCGACCGACGTCGTGCATGCGTGCTAAACAACGGACTGAAACTCGCTCCGTACGTCCTGCAACCAGAGCCAGTTAGGTGTAGGGGGGATGGGGGAAATGTGTGCGCGGTCGGTGTGTCGTTACCTGATGGAGGGTTCGCGGAGTTGCAGGAGCGTGGCGATGGGGTAGGAGTGGGTGGCGGGGGGCGGTTTCTGTTCGGCTGCCTTGTTGCGGATTTGTTGGCGCGTCCAGTTCTGAAGGACAGTCTCGAGGGCTAGGGGGCCAAGACGGGGCGCCATGGCGAGAACGAGGGCAGGGTCGACGCCAGCCTTGGAGGCGTCGAAGGGTCTGGGCGCTTCGGCGGCAACGAGATCAGCCGGCGGTGGCGGCGGCCGTGTCTCCGGTACTGGCGCAGCCGCCGGTGGCTCCGCAACCGGATGCGTCGGCGGCGGTGGTGGATTCCGAGCACCTCCGCGCCAACCACGGCGACTTCCGCCACGCGCCAGGTTCTTGTTCGCCCCACCGCGGGCGAATCCCGCTCCCGAGTACTCATACGAACGCGGCCCACGGCCGCTTCCGCGACTCGATTTGGCAAACATTTTACCGGATAAAACCCCTTGCCCCACGCACAGAGCGCAATGCCCCACGGGAGTCCCTCTCAGGGGTTCGCTCCCTGCAGAAACGCTCCCAGGAGTGTTTTTGCGGACACTTCTAGCCTCTAGGGCACGCGCCCACTGGGGGCACGGGGGGCGTGGGCTGGCTCACTAGGACAGGGCGCCCTATGGGCAGGGTCGATGCATGGAAGAGAGGATCGAAACGCACAGGAGCGGAGGACCACTACTCTCTCCGCATGATCGGTCGGTGTGCAGGCGCCAGACCTTGCCGGCCTGGCGCCTGCGCGAGGCACCCGTAGCTCGGGCGGGCGCAACCCGTCTGGCTGCGGCTTGGACCGCCGTGGACGCGACGTGCACAGTACCTGTTCTCCCCGCGGCCATGCCCGCTGCTGCAGCTACTGCTACAATCGCTCGAGTACCGCTTGCTCCGGTCGCTCTCGCTCCGGTCGTCCAGTTCGCTCCGGTCGTCCAGTTCGCTCTCGCTCTCGCTGCGGCTGTCGAGTTGACTGTCGCTCCCGCTTTGGCTGCAGTCGCTCCGATCGTCGCAGCTGGAGTGGCTGTCTCCACAGGGGTCGCGGTCGCTGTCGTCGATTTCGCTACTGTTGCCGGTGGCGTTGTCGAAGCTGCTGCCGGAGACGTGGCGGCTGGAGGCGTGGCGGGTTCCAAAGAGGGTGCGTTCAGCACCGGCCACTCGCCCCTCGAAGCTCGTCAGCTTCGAGGCCGTCAGGAAACGCTGGTTTTGGGGCAGGCAACGGCCCGCCGGTGGTGTGAGTCGCAACGGCGGCGTCAGAGGACGCAGCGGTGTCAGGGGTCGCGCGCTGCGCATCACGATCGCACCCGTGACCGCCTGCACCCGCGTGCGCGACCCCGCTTCCGGCGCCCGGCGCACTCCCAGACAGCGCTCCTCCAGACTGTTTGGCGCTCCCTGGCGCCACGCCGGTCGCTCGGCCCCGCTCTCGCTCGAGGATGCAACCCGGTACAATCGCGGCCTCCCAGTCCCGGCCGCGTTCCGGTTCATCAGCGAACTCCGCATCCACTGCTGGATGCGTCGCGCCGCCTTCTGCAAAACATAGAGACGTGCAATCCGCTGCCGCATCACCCACAACTCCACCATTCTACTTATTCTCGCCAACGCCTCCCTCTGACTGATCTCTTGCCTCTTGGTTAATCTCAGTCTCACTGGCTCCGCTAACTTCACTGGCTCCGCTAACTTCACTGGCTCCGCTAACTTCACTGGCTCCACTATCTTCGCTGCTGCTTGCTCGAACCCAACCCCATCTGCCGACCCAAGTGGTGCGTCGGCGGGACTCCGAGTAATGCTGAGCAAGTCGTCGTCGTCCGAGTCCTCGCAACCAAGACCATTTCCCGTACCGAGGCCGCTTCTCGGCCACGGCCATGGCCGGCTCTCGACGGGACGAGAGCCGAGTCCGCCAGAGAGGATGGGTCCCGAGTCGTCGGCGCCGGCGGACGTGGTCTGGCTATCAAGTGTGTAAACACCGCCTTTACCGCAGGGCAGCGGCGGTTCTTTCTGAAGCTCGGTGCAACAGACCTGCACCTGCCGTACTTCTAGAGGCACCGGTTGCGGTTCCAGTTTCATCAGCGGCGTCAACTCACTATAAAACCGCAAGCCGTCCAACTGCCGGTTCCACTGTGACGACTCGCAACACCATACACTCCCCTTCACCGCCCTCTGCTCCCCGTCCACTTCGGACCACCCGAACTGTTGACTCTGGCGGGCTGCGCTCGTGATGTCAGAACTCGTCTTGTCACCGGCAGCCGGACGTAACTCCGAGGGTCGGCTGTTTGGACTGAGATTGGACTGTGCGCTAACTCTCTCTCGAGTCCTTGCTCTCTCTCGTGCACTCACGTTGTCTCTAGCACTTATTCGATCCTTCGCGCTAAGTCGGTCTCCAGCGGTGACTTGGTCTCGTGCGCTAAGTCGGTCTCGTGCGCTAAGTCGGTCTCGTGCGCTAAGTCGGTCTCGTGCGCTAAGTCGGTCTCGTGGAGTTCTTGCCGTGACATTGCCTTTTACAAAGAGATTGCAAGTGATCTCCCACTTGCGCCTGCGTTGGGCGGAGTCCTGCTGCAGCTTGCTGAGCGTCTGGATATGCGGCATCGGTGTCTGCGCTTCTTTGCCGCCAACACTGATCACCCTCGTCTCAGACGGAGCTCGCCCCTTACTACGAAGCTTCTTCCGTTTGCTTACCTTGAGTCCTCTTGGTGGCCGGCCATGCAGGGATCCGATCTCAGCACAGACATCGTCGTCAGCACGACCGAAGGTGTTTTCCCTCTTGGGTGTAGCCTGTTTGGGCGTGGTCTGTTTGGCTCCGGCTCTCAATGCGTTTGGCGAGCCATCCCCGAAAGGCGAAGCCACCTCGGTCTCGGGCGCCGGGTCTCCAGTTGCCAGGTCCCCGGTCGCCAGGTCTCCGGCCGCCAGGGGCAGGGCCACGCGACGGCGGTCCCAAGCGGTATCCGGAGGACTGGGTCTGCGAGCGAGACGACCCGAGGGGAGGCGGTAGGTGAGTTCCAGCTCCTCGGCGTCCTCGGGTACGCGCAGGTCAGAGACGGACTGCAGTCGGAGCGAAGGCAGCGGCGAGAGGAAGGATGAATTGGAGGGCAACGTGGTCGTGCGCATCTCCCCGTTGCGCAATACGACCTGCGCAGACGGTGGCGTTGCCGACTGCACCGCCGGCCCCTTGTTCTTTATCAACGTCTGGCCGCAAGCGCCCACTTCACTGCTACCCACCAACCCATCCGGCAACCCACCCTCGCATCCCGACTTCGGCATCTGGCCGTGCATCGGGAGGCCGTGCAGCGGGGGCTGGTGCATCAGGAGGCCGTGCATGGCGGGAGGGGCCTGCAGCGGTTGCATTGGAGGTTCAGGGTGCTGCACTGGAGGTCCGACAGGTCCGAGATCGCGGTGTCCCACATCGCGGTGTCCGGGATCGTGATGCGGGGGTTCGACGTCGTGATCTTCCATGGGGTCGGAGACGCTAGCGGAAACGCTGGCGGAGACGCTGGCGAGGTTGGGCAGCGAGGCGGCGCGGTTGTCGCTGACGGAAGCTTCGTCAGAGGGCACGCACTGTACGGAAGAGTTTTGACTGGAGTCCGGGCGCGGCATGACGGTCTTGCAGGGCATGAGGGTCTTACAGGGCATGAGGGAAGGCAGCACCAGCGGTTTACCCTCCGGGACGAACCGGCTTCGACACGAACCACCTCCTCCCGTGGGGTCGTCTCGTTCGTGTGTGGACAAATTCGCAGACACACTTTCGTGCGCATCCCTCTCCGACACATGATCGGAACCGAGGTTGCATGCGCTACCTCGGTCAGAACCAAGGTTGGAAGACCGATCTCGATCTCGTTCGCCGTCAGAGGTCTCAGGACAACCGGTATCTGCGAAACCGCGGAACTGCGATCCGTCACGTTGCAATACAACCATTTCCTTACGATTGTTTGTCAGACGCCGCACCAACCGCTCCTCAATCGGGTACCCCTCCGTGCTCATCTTCGTAAAGGCATCTTCGCTCCCGTCGGAACTCTCCGCCACCCGGAACCGAGTCGACCGAATCCGACCAGCCAAGGACCGACTGCCATTCGGTCTTACACCCAACTGAGCTAATACAGAACCATGCCCAACACCAGCCCCACCTTGGTCCTGTGCCTGCGTTGTAATCGGTCCCTGTACTCCAGTCGGAACCCGTGTCCCAGTCGGAACCCGTGTCCCAGTCGGAACCCGTGTCCCGTCAGAAACCCTTGCTCCGCCCAAAGCTTGTAACCCTCCTCGGTCCATCCCTTCCCGTTCCATCCCATAGCGTTCCCTGTCGTCCTTTTCGTAGCTGCTCACACTTTCGACCGAGTCGCAAATGTGAACGGGTCGTGGCACCTCGATCGGCGATGCCATGAACGAGCACGAGTGCGACGCGCCTTCCACCAGCGAGCCGGTGTTCCGTTGCTCCTGGAGACCGCCAGCTGTCAGATCCGCAACCCGACCAAGTCGGCTTCCAGCGACTTTCGGCCCAGATCCAGGGTCCGCAGTTCCGAACCCAGGCGCTACAGGACCACTCCCAGAGGTTGCAGACCCGGTAGCTGCTGGCGGCTTTTGCTGGAAGGTGAACTCACTCCGCTCGCTGTGTCGATTAGACAATACAATCTCGCCCAAGTCCGGCGCCGGCTCCGCCTGGGGCGATAAGTCCTGTGGGTCGACCACAGACCCTTCCACGGCCAGTGAGTCTCCCACGGCCATCGAGTCAACACCGGCCAAGGAGTCAACACCGACCAAAGAGGAGTCTTCCCTGGGGACCGAGGGCCTCTCGGGGACCGAGAATTTATCCAGGGCCAAAGACTCCGCGGGGACCGAAGATCCGTCTTGCGAGCTCAGCAACTCCTGACGCCAGTGGCCAGTCTGCGGAAGCCGGCGACACATCGAGTCCAATAGGATGTCCTCGTCCGCTGAATCCACACTAACGCGGTCGAACCGTTTACGATCGGCTTGTTGTTGTTGTCGCTCGGCTTCGGGATGCCTGAGAATGCGATGCGAGTCAGTGTAGTGGTTCGCCATGCTGACGGTGGCCACTGTGGTACCGCGTCTCAATTCACGTAGAAGACTTTGTTGCCGAAAGAGGTCCATCGAGTCCGTCCGCAGACTGCTCAAGGGACCTCTACCTTCCGGCAAGTCCCGACTGCCTCGCAAGTCGAAGCTATCGACGTCGTCGTACGAATGCGCGTTGCTCGTGGTCATAGTCACACCCAGCAAGTCTCGAGCCGACTGAGGAAACGGCTTACTACCCTGATTCAGCCAACCTCCGAAGTCGAGAGCATAGGAGTCCAACCCACTGCAGGCCACACGGCCCACTTCACGATCCAACCCTCCCTCTCGGTCCAACCCTCCCTCTCGGTCCAACCTTTCCTCTCGGTCCAATTTTCCCTCCACAGGCTCATCGAGTCGGAGTCTGGCAGACAGCTGGAGCTTCCTCTCTGTAGAGTTAGCCGGACGATCGGGTCGTGAGGGTTCCTCCAGCCTCGAATCAGATTTCCTCTCGCTCGGCAAGGCCTCGCTCGGCAGCACCTCGCTCAGCAACACTTCGCTCTGCAGTCTCTCGCTCTGCTGCAGACTGTCTTGAGTGTGCCACCCTATCCGATCTGAACGACTGGTCACTGGGCCGGTCCCACTCCATAACGGCTCCGTAGAGTCCGTAGTGGTTGCGAATGGGCCAAACACGGAGGCAGGTACCAGTCCGGAACGTATTAACGCACTATTCATATGTGCCGTATTGCCATGGCTGGTCGGGACACCCAACCTGGTCACGACGCCCAGGCCCAACGGTCCCGACTCCGCACCCGTAAAGCCCGCACCCGGAAAGCCCGCGCCCGGATCCTTGAATTCAACCTTGCCATCCGGCCTCCGTTGAGTGGGCATCCGACTCGAGGAAAGCTGTCTGCTCAGGCTGCTCGAACATCCTCCTCCGAGGTCGGCCAGACTGCCACTGAGACAGGGAACGGTGCCCACTGCGGGTCCTCCACCTGCTTGATCGAGGGGCGGTGCTCGATCCAACGGCGGTTCTCGATCCAACGGGACTCGATCCAGTGGTGCTCGGGTTACCGCGCCGCGAGGTAGCAGTCTTGGGTAAGCAGCGCCTGGTCCCTGAAGCGGGGGCGGTGGCCTTCCGTGAGGTGCCGAGTCCAGGACGCAGTCGGCCGTGGAGGACCTGGCTGGCAGTTTGGGAGCCGCGCGAGGTACTAGAGGAGACACGAGCGCCGCGATCTTGGGGGAACGAGGTTGCGAGTTTCGTGTTCCCGGGTCAGGGGCACGGGGACCGGGTCGGATCGCGAGCGGCGTCTCAAGAAGGCCGGTGCACTCTTTCGTCGATTGATCGCTCCGGCTGGTAACTTTGGGTTCTTCGCGGTCATGTGGAGATGGAACGTGTCCGTTGCACATGCCGGTCGTAGTCGTTTCCGGCGGCACGGTCGTAGTCGTTTCCGGCGGCATGCGGTACGTGGGTTGTTCGAGACTCGATTCGAACTTGGGATTGAGAGATTCCAACTTGGAGTTAAGCAGGTCGGACTTAGTGGACGGAGACTTGGCCTCCGAAGGCGCGAACTCCGTACGCGGTGACCGCTCCCCTAGGACTGCGTGTACGACAGCCTGCACCACCGGTTGCACGACTGCCTGCACGGACTGGGCGGGTTTGCTGACATCTTCGAGTGAGCACAGGGGCTTCGTAGTGAGTCGCTGGGTCACATGCGGTTGTTGGATATTGGGTCGTAAGGGTGCCTCGGCAGGCTTCAGGGGTTGTTGGGCAATCACATGTCCCTCGGGTGGTTGCATACGTCCCTCGGGTGGTTGCATACGTCGCTCGGGTTCTGTAGGTAGTTCGGAACATTCCTTGTCGGCCACGACATCGCGGCCAGTGCCGGGTCGGGAGCAGGTGTAGAGTGATGGCGATTCGATTACATCACTGTCGTCTAAACAGATAGGAAGCACCGGGACAAGTGGGGGGAAGTGGACTTCCTCGCTGGTAATGCTTTCTTCACGGCACGACTGAAATTCCACGATTTCCATGTTTTTCCCTGCATGTCCACGCCAGACAGTATTGCACACAACCATTCCTCTGTGCTCGCCTTCGCAGTTGATGGGGCACACCTCCAGCACCGCTCCCGGCCGCACGAATCCGCGCTCAGGCCGCGAGGACTCCGATGACAACAAAGGACCGGGAGACGACGACCCAGCCAATGGGACACGCCTTTGGGCATCATAGTATGTGCTCAACCCGACCTCCTCCGACCCCACGCCCTCCAGCGACTCCTCACCTAGATCCTTGTGAACCTCGGACTCTCCTCTCCGGAAAGAACGGAACCACGACATCTCCTAAGGATCGAACAGTAGGACGGTCCAGCTCCAAAGACGCAGCCGGCTTGATTGGTGACTAGCTAAGCGTGTGACTAGCTAAGCGGGTGACTAGCTAAGCGTGTGTCTAGCTAAGCGGGTGACTAGCTAAGAACCCGACAACAGTGCAACCGTCGTGTCACCTGACTGAAGGTTACTCCTTAACTGAGTCACTCCGTATCGGTTCACTCCGTATCGGTTCACTCCGTATCGGTTCACTCGGCCCCAGGATTCGATCGCCCGCAAATTCGATCTGCCTCGACTCCGTGTCCGGTTCACCTGTTCTTGATTTCAGATGCAATTATTCCCAGACACAATACGCGCCGATATATTCGCACGTGTGTTAAATCTCAAACCAATCAAGACTGAGATGGTTCTACGATAAATAGTTCAATGGTGTGGTCTGTCTTTTAATTGGCCAAAATTCTTCATGCTCGCGGTCCCGGTCGGACGGCCCATTAATTAATATTGCGTGTGGGCCGGGCAACGAACGAGTGGATGGAAAAGATGTCGGCGCGGGAGTTGCGAGCCAAGGTAAAGTCGGTGGAGGCAGAGGAGCCGACGGAGGACGAGTCGTCTTGGAGTTCTGAAGAAGATGAGGGAGACGTAGTGGACGTGGCTCAGGATGAGACGCTTGCACGAGTGTTGTTGGCGGTTCGAAGAGGTGACGAGGAGGAGGCGAAGACGTTGATGCGTAGTGTCCAAACACATTTGCCGCGAAAGCCGAAAAAGGAGAAGTCTAAGACCTTGCGCGACGTGCAGGCGGAAGAGGTGGCGCAGTTAGCAGGTCTAAAGCGGAGTAGACCCGCCGGCCCGGTGGTCGAGGTGTCGGGTGGTGGTTCGAAAGAGGCTGTGGTGTCTGCTTTGAATGCCTTGAGTGAGGATGAAAGCGAAGACGAAGGAGGTCTTCGGGTCGTCTGTGAAGATGAGGGGATTGAAAAGGAGCGCGTGAAGAAACCTCGTTTGGCCCCACATGGTTTGGCCCATGGTTTGGCCTCACATGGTTTGGCTTCCGCGTTGGAAGATAGTAACGCGCCGGAAGACCAATTCTTGAAGAAGTACTTCGGCCAGCAATTGTGGCAGGACAAGAACGACAAGGCTGTGGTGGTGGAGGACCTCTTTGCCGACGAGAGCCTTGAGGATGTGGAACGTGCAGATGAGTTTGAGCATCGCTATAACATGCGTCACGAAAAGGCCGGGCAGACACACGAGCGTATGCAGGACGCATTCGCCGAAGTCAAGCTGAGTAAAAGAGCCGAAGCTCGGAAGGCGAAACTAGAACTTAAAAGGCAGAAGACGCAGCAACGTAAGGACGAATTAATCAACGACATGCTCGGCGGAGGCGAAGGTATCGCGCTCGTTGGCACCGACCACTGCATGACTGGAATGGAGGACGCGCAAAACAACACAATGTTGGGGCCAAATGGTAGGGACCGGATGATAGATATGGACACGATAGAAAATGATCAGGAGGATGATGAAGGTATTTTTGAATGGTTCTTGTGTGATTCTTGTAACACCCCGATCAAGCCCACCAAGAAGATGTTTCGTTGCAGACAATGTGAAGACTTCTCTCTTTGTGCGTCGTGCCAGAAAATACTTAAACATGAACACAGTCTATATAAAACAAAATGCCCGGCGGACGCACAACCACCTGATGATTGGCGAGCAGTTGTCGCCCAACAAAGCATGGAACGGGCGGTGGAGCAAAAGTCAATATCCAAGGGCGAGTTTCTGGCGACCAAAATATTGCAAGAAATCTCATTCTTGCCGGATGCTAACTATAAGTATGTTGCCTGTGATCCTAAACAAGAGAAGTACTCTATGGAGTCATTGATTAATGAAATGACCGAAGTGAAGAAGGACTCCGAGAGAGAGAAACATGAGCAATCATCAAAGAGGAAGTCGTCAATCAAGCTGAAAGTTCTCAAAACCGACAGCAATAACAAGAGTAAGGATAGGAGCAAGGGGAAGAGTAAGGATAGGAGCAAGGGGAAGAGTAAGGATAGGAACAAGGAGAAGAAGGCTGATGCTGCCTCTTCCATGGCCGACGCTGGGATTGAAGCCAGCACGACGTCCGAGCCCGAGGTCTAGACCCAGCCAGGTCCAGACCCAGCCAGGTTCAACGCTATGACTCGACCCTGGGGTTCAACGCTATGACTCGACCCTAGGGTTCAACGCTATGACTCGACCCTAGGGTTCAACGCTATGACTGGACCCTAGGGTTCAACGCTATGACTCGACCCTAGGGTTCAACGCTATCGGTCTTGCTGATTCTTTCGATCCACTTGTTGTAGGGGAACGTGCGTATCTTCCCACACATTCCACATTGCACCACTACTTTGACCAGGTCGGTTTTTATATTGCATGATTTCGAAAACGGGCTGATGGAACCCCCGCATTTTTTGCACACGAAAGCTTTCAGAGCAGGTGTCCATCTGACGACGTGCTTTTTGGAGATCTCCATGGCCCTCGCGTTTAGTTGTCTAAAAACAGTCCTTAAGTGGGTGGTACGGTGTGTGCAGTCAGTGATGTGGAGCGTAGCACATGTGCAGTAGATGCCTGTCGTTTGTGTGGTACCTGGTGAGGTTGGGTCCGCCTTCTGCGTCATATTTGAGAATTTCGGCGACGGTGAGCAGGTGGTTGAGAGACTTGATTTGCGTGGTGGGTTGTCGTTTCTTCATAAATAATAAATGGACTTCCAGCATCGTGTGGGCCACAAGACGGGTTCGGGTGGGCCGGCTACGGCGCAAGAGATAGCGTTGGATCGGAAAGAGCGATTGCGGCGGTTGGCTTTAGAGACGGTAGACTTATCAAAGGACCCATACTTACATCGGAATCATGTGGGCAAAATTGAGTGCCGATTATGTCTGACTCTCCACTTGAATGAAGCCAGTTACCTGACTCATACCCAAGGCCGCAAGCACCAAACCAACCTGGCCCGACGAGCGGCAAAGGAACAAGCAAATGCCGGCGGAGGGGCCTCAGTCGTACCCATGCCCCCTATGGCCGCACCCGTACCACAAATGCCCACCATTGGCCGCCCCGGCTACCGAGTTACCAAACTCAGAGACCCTAGTACTAAACAATATGGACTTCGCTTTGAAATCCACTTCAAGGACTCCAGCTCTAAACCTAGACACAGATTCATGTCCACGTGGGAACAAAAGGTGGAACCAACCGACTCCAACTTCCAGTACGTTGTGTTCGCAGCGCAACCGTATGATACCATAGGTAATTCTTTTTCCCATCAACCCCATCCTCTCCTCAACCCCCCCATCCTCCCATCCTCTCCATCCCATGCTCCCCTCTCTTGACCACCCCCGACAGTAATCTCTGCAGCATTCCGGATCCCGACGAAGGATATTGAAAAGAACGAAGAAAAATATTTAGTCCACTGGGACCCCGACAGCCGGCTTTACCTGGTCCAATTTCTGCTACGAGACCGAGTAACATAGACATTGACGGAAGAGGTGGGACGGAACAGGTGGACGCAGCAAGTGGATATAACAAGAGGACATCAGTAGATGGATACACCGGGAAAAATGCCCGAAACGTCGGGACGCGACCGAAGAGATGAACCCCGGGCCGTGGAACGCAGCGGTAAGGGTGGCGGTG